AGAAGGACCGGCGGCAGGCGCACCGGGCCGGCCCCAGCTGGGTCTTGGCAGGGTCCCCCCCTTCCTCCTACCTGAGTAAATACTCTTCTCCTGACGTGCACCCCTTCCTGCCATGCCGCCTGCCAGGGGCTCTTGTTGGTCTCACATAAGTAATTACGCTACGTCTCACCCTACGTCCCTTCTCATACACATTTCCCCGATGAGGCCAAAAGGCCACAGGAAAGCAGCTGCCAGGCTTCAACGCCGGTCGCTCCTCCAGGGAAAGTAGCAAGGCCACTGACAGCTGCGTCGGGAGGAAGCTTCCCGTCGTTTCCGGCCTCGTAGGTCCCTGGAACCCGAGGGACCGCCATGCTCCCCCGTGACCCTGCACTCACGGAGAACGCTGAGCTTTTCATTTCAGTCGTCATAGCAACTGTTTTTATAAGTTTTACCAGGAAAGCGTGGGCACGAAGTGATTTCCAATGCAGCATTTTATTAGAGCCAGGGGTGATCATTTCTAGAAAAACAAATCTCGCAGTTAGAATGGAAGACAGCGAGACGAGGCTTCTCTTTATAACTTACCTTTATCACACTGTCTCAGCACAGTTTCTCTATGTGAGCATTGCTTAAACATTAGGTACCAGTCATTAGGAACACGCGAGACAAAACCTCGTACTGTCTTATCCTCAAGTCAATGACCGACAGACTTTTCCTGGATTTTTGAAGACACAGAATTAAGAAATCTCCCGATAGCGCACAGCCTACAGAGGTCGTGGTCAGCTGGGAGCGTCTCCAGGGTGAGGTCTGAGTAGCCCTCAGCGTCCTCACTGCCGCGGTCTCGCGTGGGCTGTGCTCTTGGGCCTGTTCCTGGCCTGAGCGGAGTGGGGCAGCGAGAAGCCCTGGTCCACAATGAGGATGTGGCATGAGGGATTCTGGCTCCTGGGAGGCACAGGCGGGCGGCCCAGCTACCCCTGCACGGGATAGTTTCATGGCATCAGTTCCCCTCCAAGGCCGAAGCCTGTGGTCTGATCTTCCTAGCAGCTTCCAGGACAGCAAGCAGGTTCACTTTGTCTCCAAATTCTTTCTCTCGGTGCTCGAGAAGAACGCCCTGAAAGGGAACAGAGGTGCTTGTCCTGACTCAGCCTCTGGAAGGACGGACGGATGCCAGCACCTGCTTCCCGCCAAGCCCGGTCACTGGAGCCGAGAACACGGGTCCCCCAGCGGACACCTGCCCACGCGCTGTTGTCTTGGGGGCGCCGGGCAGGGGAGAGGCGGGCAGCACTCGGCTCAGAAAGGCAGGTGTGCGGGTGATGCGTGGGAGGTCAGCAAAGTCTTCCCGTGTGGGCCAGCAAGTAGCGTATGGCTAAGTGCTGTGCTCCCACAGGGCCCATGTGGTTCAAGTCCTGGACCCAGCAGCTCAAAGTTCATGCCCGGTGCATGCGTATGCATGCCCAGACTCAGGAGAACAGAGGAGAAGGGACTGTGGTGTGGCCATGCCCCCTGGAGGGCGGCTTCTCCCTTTTCCTCTCGATCTCTGTCTCTGACAAGTGCACACTCCCTACAGCAAAAACCTAAAAAAATAAGCACAGAAGGTGAGTGGTACCAGCTGGCAGGCCTGGCTGAGAGGGCGTCCCAGCAGAGGGGACCATGAGGGAACCCAGAGCCTAATAACAGCTGTGGGGCTCAGAGGTCAGACTTGGGCTCTAAGAGCTTCAGAAAAGGGCGACCCTCTGCTCCACGACCTTCCGAGAATGCAGACACCACGCGCGTTCTGCGCTGCGGAGCGAGATGCATGCACACAGGCGGCTGGCCTGTAGCCCTGGGTAGGGGAGCCGCACCTGACGGGGCCTCCGTGGCTTAAACAACACACCGACACCTGTGTTGCCCCAAATCTGGACAGGTTGGGGAAGTGGAGAAGGGGTTGCGCCGTGACCTCGCCCCTTTTCTGTCTGTCTGTCTCGGTAAGTGCTCACGCCCTCTGACAGGAACCGCTGCCTTACCGTGGTGAGGACGACAGGACACCGTGTTTGAAATCAGCAAGGACCACTGAAGAGCTCGCAGCCCTGCTACACCTGGGGACGCCAGTGAGCAAGGAGCGGCCCGTGAACCTGGCGTCGTTTAGACAGACTTCGACACACAGGGCGCCCCGTTCCGCAGTGACCCCAGGGGAGCAGATGAAGAAACGAGGCGTCACGTGACAGGGAGAACCCCGTGGGGCGTGCCAGGAGACGTCCGTGATGCCTCAGGAGTGCCAAGGACGCCTAACTGACGAGACACCACACTCTAAACCGAGGCAGAGCTGCAGCCGCAGCCCGTCCCAGCCTGTTCCCGCCTTCCGTGCCTCACTGTCCCCGAACTCTGCAACACATGACACTGAGCTTCAGCACAAGCATGCTTTAGGTCACCCTTGCTGAGGGGCTCTGGGGAGTGCCAACAGCAGGAGCGGGAGCTCCACGCCCAGGAAGTGTCAGGTTGTCCACAGTGGCCGGCCCAGGGTCCCAGGGAGCACCCACAGAGTCAAACACCCAGCAACGCCAGGAGCAGCCAGCCAGGCCCAGGGCCCCAGTGAGTCACTGCCAGGTAAGAAAAGGCTGCGAGTGGCCAAGCCCTGCCCTAGAGGCCACAGGACGGCAGGGAGGGAAGGGAGGAGCCCCCAGGGTGAGTGGGCAAAGGGGGCAGCCCTGTGCAGACACAGCCGTCTGTGAGCCAGAGTACCAGGGCGGGGTCTGGAACCACCTCTCAAGTGAGGGCCTGAACAGGGCGGAGGGCGGCCTGAGTTTCGGGTTTCTGTGCAGTTACTACGGTGTGCCCTCAGCTGGCTTCGTCCAAGTCTCTGGGCCCATTCCTGCACACACAGATGGGAATGGAAGTCCCAGCGCCCTGGGCTGGCGGTGGAGCCACACAGGCACACCGGACAGGCGGGCACTTGCTGGCGGCTGGCCGCTACACACCACCGGCTCTGTTTACCAGAAAATCAGCGGAGGTCTGTGCCAGACCGACACCACTTGGCGCTCAGTTCTCACCCAGCCCGGCACGAGCACCCACTGAGGCAGGGAGGAGGTGCACGTGGGGAGTGCAGCTCAGGACGCAGGCGCTTCCCCGCCTCCTCTGCCAGCTGTCAGAGGACGAGCACGCCCGGGGAGCGCAGCACGCCGCAGCCAGGACTGAAGGCACGCATGCACACGCGTGCCTTTTACGCTGCCAGGACTGGGGTTCGAACCATGGGCAGCCATGTGGGTCCAGCCCCCCTTATGACCAGACCACAGGCTGGCCTCTTCCCCCTTCCACTCCTCCCCGGTTGGGAAGAGTATGTGATTGTCACCTTTCCAGGTGCTCATGTCCCCCAAGGTCGGCAGGTGGACCTGGTGTCTCCAGGTCCTCCCAGGCCTGCGTCCTGTCAGCCCCATTTCTCCCAGCACACCCCAGGCCCTGCTGGCTCTGTCCTGGGGGGCAGGAGTCCCCACACTCAGGCTGCCCACAGTCCCCACCTATTGGGCCCTGGGAGACCCTGCCTCTCCTTTCCTCCTGGTGTCCCCAAGCCACCCCTGGACATCCGCCCCGCAGCCCACAAGGGCTCATCTGCAGTTCTGCCTCTGGGGCAGTGCAACACCAGACCCCATGCCTGCCACACTCCCGCCAGGTTCGACCCATTCCTTCCCGCCTCCCTGTCCTCAGTCACCACCCACGGGACTGGACACACCCAAGGGGAGCAAGTTCGTAAACACAGCCAGCCCCTGCTTTCTGGCCAGCCAGTGGAGTCAGAGAGTCCAGGGGGCCAGAGACGGCCTGGTGCTCCTGCTCCGCCCTTGCAGGGCCACCCCGTGCCAGCTGGGAAGTGCTGCCTTACCCTCTCCAGCCTGGACTCGAACAGGAGCTGGACAGCGAGGCCCAGCACCAGAGGAGCAGGGGCGGCAGTTGGTCCCCGACCCCCGTGCTCACTGGTTTTCTGGACAGCCTGAGCGACCTGCACAGGCGATGGCACCCAAGACTGGTCTGGGCCTCGCCCACTAAAGCAAACGCCAGGGTTTACCTGCTTTCCTGATCCCACCACGAAAACGCCCCCGAGGATGAAGCCTTCGCCTTCCAGGTTTCCGGAGAAGCCCCCGCTGCGGGCCCGGAAGAAGTTGGACCATACGCCCAGACGGACAAAGCCCATGAGCATCATCTTCCGCCTCTGTGGGCCGTAGAACTTCTTCTACAAGCAAGAGGGGCCCACGTGAGCGGCTGCGTGCTTGCCCTCCATGGTGTCGGTTCTCAGGCAGAAAGTACAGCCCGTGGTCCCTGGGGTGCACGTACACAGCTCCCCCAGGGCCACCCTCAACTGCCGGGAACAGAGGGGCCGAGCCGACAGCAGCCTGGCTGTGGGACGCAGGTGAGCTCTGGGCGTCCACTCTGAGTCTCTTCCATTCTCGTCCCTGACAGGGCACAGGGTGGGACCTGCCACGCTCTGCAGGGGTGGGCACACGGCTGCCATGAGGTAAGGGACGGGCTTGTGTGAGGGCCCTTCTGATGGTGGGGTGACCTGATGGGGTTTGGCTCTTTCCTGACCCCACGAAGGACTCGACCAAGGGCAGGAGGGATGGTGAGCGTCGCCGTGCTCTGCAGAGTGAGAGCACCCTGCCAGCTCAGGCCGGCTGAAGGCAGGGCGGCCTCCACGTATAGGCCACGCAGACCTGGCCGCGACCTCTGCACAGCTGAGATGCGACCTCTGCACCCGCCGCATGCCTGGCCAGCTCACTGGACACGTACCTTCTCATCCAGAAAGATCTCCCCTTTGAAGTAAGGCTGGAAGTCCTGCAGCTCGGTCCCAATCTGCTCCTTCACCACCGCGTACAGGGGGACACCCAGCTCATCCAGCTTGGGCTTCAGGGAGGACAGGTCTGCAGCCTCCTGCAGAGGAGAGGTCAGGGACACAGATCCTGCACTCTGTGGCCAGCACACACTGCTCTTCCCCTCAGGCCTGAGCACACTGGAGCTGAGCACAATCAAGTCACCGTGCGCTGCTTGGCAATGCCTGCCCCGGTGGCGACTCGGTCTTGGCACAGCGCCACAGGTCCCTGCTCAGCCCAGGCCACCTGTGTCCTCCATGGTGCAAGGAGAGGCGAAGGAGTCTTGAGCATGGCTGGGCACAGCTGCGACGGGCTGCACCTGAGCTCAGTCACGCAGAGCCAGCCCTTCTCTCCCGCCCCTCCCCGAGCCCACCCACGAGCCCCTTGGGCTGTGGGGACAGCTGCCTCCATGTTCCGCTCAGCACCCCCTCAGCCCTCCCTCTTTCCAGCCCAAGCCCTACCCTCTGGGAAGGTGTCTCTGCCCTGAGAGATATCCCCACTAGCGCAGCCTGGTGGGGAGCCCCACTCCTCCACGCACAGCCTGTCCCCTCTCCTGGCGACCTTCTCTGTCCCAAGTCTGCGTGCTACTGCCCACTGAATGCCATCACCTAAGATCCCAAATGCCGTCCAGAAAGTATGTCCCCATTTCTTGGGAGGCCAACCTGATTCATGCCTAGAACATGGCTGGAACATGGCTGGAAACACAGACGCCGCTAACTGTAGGTGGAGAGGGATGAGGTGGACGGGGAGAGTGTGGCTGAGCTGTGAGGTGTGGACACCTCAGCCCTCACCCTCCGTGTGCTGGAGGGTAAACAAAGCACAGGCCGAGGGCAAGGCCGCAGCACAGAGGGCACACACCTGTCCCAGCCGGTGTCAGGATTAAGTTACCCACAGGAAATCCTCTTAACTGTAGCCCACAGGCCAACACACGTGCACCCCTGCAGGTGGCAAGCATGTCCACACATGTGCACTGCCATGTGTGAGGAGCGCATTCATGCATGTGCACCACCGTGCATGAGGAGCGTGTTCATGTATGTAGACCACTGCAGTGGTGAGTGCATTATGTGTGCAATGCCATGTGTGAGGAGCATGTCCACATGTGTGCACCCCTGTGAGTGGCATGTCCATTTGCATTTCATTTCTTTCTAGGGTGAGAAAAGAGATAGCTAACGAAACGACCAACTTCTGCATATTTCAGGGCCAGGCCCGTGGGCCAGTGGTGCAGGGGCCAGAGCCCACGTGGCCCACCTGACTCAGGGCTCGGCTGCGGGCTTGCATAGCACCAGGCGTGTGTGGAGTGCACCCCAAGTCCCCATGGGATAGAGAAGCGGAGAGGGGCTGCACGGCCACCCGTCTGTGGGCTTGCCTTCTCTCTGGCAATTAAGAAAGAGAGGCCCACGTGACAAGGGGCACAGGGCCTCAGAAGCTGGAAGAGGCAAAACAGTGGGTCCTCTCTTTTGGCCTCTGAAGACGACAACCAGAGTCCATTCCAGCCTCCAGGACTGTGGGCAAAGCTTGTGTGGCCTAGAGCCACCATGGTCATCTATCGACAGCAGAGAGTGCACACACATGCCTGCATTCACCACCTGTCAGGTGGGACTGAGAACAGGCTCTCTTTCCAAGGCTCCGCTGATGGGACCAGACAGGACAGCAGGCAGTCCCCACCCTGAGGCGAGGCGCCGGCACCATGCTTCCAGCAATGCACCTGGATTCCCACAGGGCAGAGGCTGGGGAAAGGCCCGAAAGGCTGGAGGGAAACACCTGTGGCCAGAAAAGGGCAGACACAGGGCCAGGGGCAACCTGAACTGGCCACTCCCTGCAGCACAGCTGCCCAAGCCCCGCCGTCCCTCCAACTCCTCCACACGGCGCTGATCCAGAACCTGGGTCTTCTGCTACCCGATGGCCATGCAACCACAGACTGGTCAGCGACCCATTCTAGCTGGGCCTCACCGCCTGTCTATACGGTGACGAAGCTGGAGCCAGGCACTGTAATGTCCCTCTGAGTCCAGCACTCTGCTCCCACAGTGGGGGCCCTGCCTCCCCAGCACACAGTCCCCCACTGGAACCGATGGCCACGGCGTCCTGGAGACCTTCAGTGCATTCCAGCTCTCACAGTGCCCTCAGCCAGCTACCCACATGGACTGAAACCCCCGAGTTAGGGGGATGCTGCAGGCACTCAGAGCGGCCACTGGGGGCTCTCGGCAGCCCAGAGGGACTCCAGGTGGGTCTCCGAGGAGCAGTTGCAGGTCTGTTCTGCAGGGTGACCCCAAGAGTGCCCACCCCCAGCTCCACCCTAAGGCAGACCCACAGCACACCCCGACTTATGTGTGAAGGTGGCGCTGCCATAAGGCGCAGGTGCTGCTTGGGATGTCCCCCGATGGAGGGGGTCCCTGACACGCACACACACAAGCTGGGGCAGAGGCACGCACACACAAGCTGGGGCAGAGGCCAAGTCCCCAAGGAAAGTGGGCGTGTGGTCTCCCCCGCAGGAGACGAAACAGTGTGAGTTACAGGAAATGCCAGAGGGAGGAAGGAGCAGAGCAGGCCGGGGAGGCCGGGGCCAGGGCTGGACGTGCCCGGACGTCTGCAGTCACACTCACCTCGCGGCACAGGAAGCAGCCAGGTCTGCGCACAGCCATGATCACCGCGCCACGCTCCCCCCACAGCTCCTTCGCTTTGAAGGTCCTCGGTTCTGCGGGATGACAAGAGGGGCTGGTGTCTCCTCCCGCGGGCCAAGGCTGCTCACGCCCAGCCCGGTGCAGGCAGCCCCGGCCGCAGGAAACGCAGATGTTGGTCTTCCCGAGGAAGCTGGCAGCCTTACAGGTCCTCCTGCAAGCCCAGAAGGTCCCCAAACCCACTTTGAACACAAACACTCCCAACAGGGGCCTTTCTGGAAAACTGACAATTGGCTTGATTGTGGGATCGTCAAACACGGACTGCTTCGGGCAGAAACTGCCACAACTGCTTGACCCAAAACAGAAGAACCCCATTCTTTTTTTTTTAAAGAATTTTTAAATTTAACTTGATTCTTTTATTTACTTATTTTAATCTGACTAGAGAGGGACAGAATGAGAAAGCAAGACAGTGAGAGAGGGAGGGAGAGAGAGTGAGAAAGTAAGCTGCCAGGCCCAGGACTTCGATCAGTCGGCCATGTGGGAGTCAGCGCCCTTAACCACCATGCCACCGGCCAGCCCCCAAGACAGCCCCGTTCTTAGTGACATGTCAGAAGGAATTAGGCTGATAGGACTTCTATAAGAATGAGTTTAAACGTGGTCCCCGACTTCCAATGGCTGCTGGGGCCCTTTCCGACTTTATGGTAGCACAAGCCTCCACTCGGTGCAGAACCAGGGCACACGTGTGACATGGCCTCTGTAACCTGGGGGCACTGCCCACCAACGGTGGTGTTACTGAAGAGGAGACTCAGACGGCGCCTGACGGGACACGCTGCCGCGAGTCCGACCATGGTGTGGACTCAGCCCTGAGGCCAGGCCGAGCGTGACCCTGGCCGTGCCGGGCAGCCCTTCCTTTCTGCCACAGCACCTATGTGAGCACCGATCCCCGGGAACTGCCCCCCCAGGCGGCGGGAGCACAAGCGATGGGCCTGGGGCCTGATGGCACCGTCGCGCGGGCTCCGAGTCTGAACATAGTCTTTCCAGAGAGCCGCGTCCCCATGGGGTGTTCTGTAGAAAAGGGGGGAGGGGGCAGGAGGAGCTGCCTCGAAAGAGACTGGGAAGCCCTGGGTTGAAAGGCAACGACCAGGCCTTGGGTCCCCACAGGGGGTCATGCCACACAGCCAAGTTCTGCAGCCTCCACAGGCTTCCAACAGGGCTGACCTGGGCCGGCCCTCAGGGTGCCCCGAGGGCATGCTCCCTTGCCAGCTGCCCAGCCAGCCCTCACATGCCCCGTGGGGAGGGAGCTGCTGTGCAGGGCTGGAGCCCTAGCTGCCCACGTCGAGTCCCTGTGGGTCCCCGAGAAGAGGCAGAGGCCGAGTGTTCCCACATGGCCAGGAGCTCCCCGCGGCTGCAGTGTCACAGACGGGGAGGTGAGCATGCTGGGAGCAGGGAGGAGCTTGCTGCCATGGTGCACCCCTACTGTGCGCCAGGTCTCACTGAGCAGGGAAGGACTGTGGAAAGCGTCCCTGTGTGTGCTCGCTCAGGAAACCCTTTCTTGGCCGATCCCACAGCCTGGCGTTCCTCGGCACCCCCTGGGAGGCTGGGCGGGTGGCAGTGGGCAGCCGGATACACAGTGCAGCGGGCCCATTTTAGGGGAAACAGCAGAGGGAGTGGGTGCTCGAGGTCAGCAAGGCCAGAGGTGGACGGATCTGGGAGCACCGCGGGCAACTGCAGACCTGCCAGCACACACTTCCTGATGATGTTATACTGCCTTTCAATGAAAAAAAAAAAAGAGCTACTTCAGGAAGAACAGAGTGAGTGACACCTCAGGGCAGGTAGGGCCACGGCTTACCCTTCCCCAGCGTCTTCAGGTCGATGTCCTCCAGGTAGTCCAGTGATGCTCTCTGGGGCTTGGACAGGAACATGTCCGTGTTGGCCAGAAACAGAGCCACGGCTGCCGCGCCCAGGGCCCCAGCGCCGACCGACCACACTCCCATGGCGAAGAGGCTCGGGTCCTGGGGGAGAGACATTTCTGGAGATTGAGAGGAAGGAAGATGTTATTGCTCCTGGAGGACAGCTGGAGTCTGACCCTGTGCAGGCTCTGGTGTGGCAGCCAAGAGAGAGGCGAGAAGGCCAGGAGGCCGGGAGGCCGGGCAGGAGCGGCAGCAGGTCAGAGAGGAAGTGGGGAGGGCTCCGGGACCTGCTGTACCAGGCCTCGAGGACGGCAGACACATGGAGGTCATGCCCAGGGCTCACCAAGGAGTCAGGAGGGACCGAAGAGAAGTGCTGCCATCTCCTGCTGTCCCTTTCCCGCATGCCCAAGGCTACGCCCCCGTGGTGGGGCCCTGGCCACAGACCCCCACCTCCCAGGTCTGAGGCTCCCTCAGTCCAGGGGCTCAGTGTGGCCTCCGAAGTGGGCGGCTTCCTCCCCCGTGACCAGGACACCCAGGACAGAATCGAAGTGCTCTGCTTCGCCCTTACTTCTTCCTTAGTCAGAGAACCTCCCGGAAACACGAGCCGAGCCGAGCCCTGCCCGAGCCCCTCGCAGTGTGCACAGGGCCATGCCCAAGCAGGCGGCAGTCTGCTCTCAGTCACAGAAAGGAGCCGGCTCACGGCAGAAACAAAGCAAAGCACAAAACAAGGCAGCAGTTGCCAAGGAGAGCCCGGGACCCGGAGGGCTCCTGGCAGGCCCTGCCCCGCCTCCCCAGGAGCACAGCCAGGTACCTCTGCTGCCCGTGTGCTGTGGGGACAGGCGTGTCGCAGAGCGCACCATGTACTCGAGCTGGGCGCAGCACGTCTGCACAGCGTGGCGCTCCGGTGGGCCTGTGAGAACCCGTCAGGCTCCCTGCCGCACCCCCCACCCCCTGGGAGCTTCGGGAACAACAATGCGGCTGCCTCCTTCAGGCTTCTCTCCTGACGCCCACGTGCTTGTCTCGCCCTGGCACTTCCTCGAGCCAAAGTGCCCTGGGCCATCCTCCTGGGTCCAGCCTAAGCCGAGGCTTAGGTGCCAGGGAGTGGCCTGGGGTGTGGCCCAGTGAACCTCGGCCCACCTGGCCTCTGCTCGGCTCCTGTGGGACTCAGCTGGGGACAGGCCATGGGAGGGGCCGTCCGGACAACCATAGGGA